CCCCAAAACCCCAAAACCCCAAAACCCCTTTTGATGCACTATTATTGGATAGCTATTTAAGTGCTATTAGTAAAAAGAATACATTGCTCCTCAACAGGACCAGCTCGATTTAAGATGTGTTTTGAGCATTTACGTCCTGAGGATTGTGTAGGAGCGGTAGCTACTTCTGCCAAGAGGCATTTTCGCTAAGGAAGCAACTTACAAAAAGTAAGGTACGACCTTGCTGTAATGAGAGAGTTTAGCTTTTTGCTTAGCTTCATCAAACATTACATATTTCTGAGATAAGTCAGAATTTATTTGTAAAATAGATGCAGCATTGCCACATCTGTATGTGTAGTTAGGAGCAGACCAAACAGTGGTCAAGTTTTGGTTAGGGAACCATATTTTATATCCTTCCATAACTAATTGGTGGGCTCTACAGATCAAATCCAGTCCATTAATTTTGTTAAACTCATCAGTTACCTTCGATCCGAACAACCATCCGAGACCTCTAGGACTGATGGCCCATGTATCAATGTCTTCTGGATCGCTCCACATAAGATCTGAAAAGCCTTCACCTGTGCTTGGAACCTCTTGGAATCTGTCTATTAGCCTTATCTGGTCTATCGTCTTTAAGTCAGGTGATAATCCTCCATGGAGGCATAAAATTTTTCCTTCAATTAGTGCAGATAAGGGTAGATGATCAAAAACATCGTTGAAATATTTCCAACAGTTTATATTTCCATACTTCTTCATAACCTCATCGTAGAAGCCATATTGCTGAGAGATAAACCTTGATTCATGGTTTCCTCTTAAGAGAGTTATCTTTCCTGGATAAAGGACCTTAAGACAGATTAGATAAGTGATTGTTTCAATTGAGTGGTATCCTCTGTCAACCATATCACCGAGGAAAATATAGCTAGTATCTCCAACGTCACCTCCAATTCTGAAGATCTCAAGTAGATCATAAAACTGACCGTGTATGTCTCCAACAACAGTGACAGGCCCAGAGACAGGTTGGACATTGTTCTCTTCAATAAGGATTTCTTTTACCTTTTCTCATAAGATCCTGACTGTCTTCTCTTCCAGTGCTTTTCCTGTTTTCAGGATCTCGAGGCATTCTTTCATATTGACTGACATTTAGGTAATTAATAATTATTCTAATAAGGTCTGACTTATATGGGGTTTTGGGGTTTTGGGGTTTTGGGGTTTTGGGG